TGCTGCCTGGCTGTAATCCCACCTATCAGGAGGACAACATAGAAGGAGTCACATGAGTCCAGGAATTCTAGGGAGATCGTGCTCAAAAGGAGAAAAAAAAAATCACACACATACTATTTCAAAATCAGAAGTGAATACCTGAGCATCAGATATGTTGACCCACAAGAAGAACTAAATACCAGCTGGGTGGTGGTGGCACACGCCTTTAATCCCTTCCTTGGGAGGCAGAGGTAGGTGGATCTCTGAGTTGGAGATCAGCCTGGTCTACAGAGTGAGTTCCAGGACAGCTAGGGCTACACAGAGAAACCCTGTCTCAAAAAACAACAACAAAAAAAAAAGAATAAAAACCTAAATATCATCTTGTATGAGCACAAAACCATAGCTTTACATGATGATAAATAGTACATAACAGAAAACATGATAAATGATAAAAAGATAACAACAAATACCAAATATACTTAAACAAGAATAAATATTAAAAAATAATGCCCCAAGTATTCCTATACTATATATTTTTTGCAAAATCTGAGGATACGATCAAAGCCTATACAATTAAATGTATCTAGTCAATGAATGCCCCCTATGACAGCAAACTATCAAAATAACAATTCAATAACAGAGTACATACACATTTGCTGTTTGGCGTTTTCTCAAGTACTTCTTTCTCTCCCTCCCTCCTTTCCTTCCTCCTTCCCTCCCTCCCTTCTCAAGTACTTCTATTGGCCATCCTAAGAGTGGGTGAGATTGGGCAATGAGTACAGGACTAGTTACTTTAAAATAGCATTGCTACTCAGCCTTCCTCCACTGTGGGTGTCTGCTAACACTCCAAAGCCCCCCACTTGCACCCTGGGTGTCTCCAGGTAGACACTGGCTCTTGTAGGAAGTTCTGACTAGTCTAACATGTGAGCTCTTCACCCCATACGCACCAGGACATCATTTAGGCAAGGTCCTGTCCAATGGTCTCTTCCACTCAACTGTACGCTCTGCCATGACAAGTGTTTTGCAAGCGACATTCACAAGATGTGTGTTATGAGTGTAACAAAGGTATGAATCAATGACCCAACAGATGAGGTTACACAAACATGCCTTATACATTGCAGGTACTCAAACCAGGAGTAGGATCATTCTCCTGGTAATCTAATAAAACTACTTGCATATACAGGTCTAACTCTTGTATCTTATAATCCATTCCCAATTGATGATATAGTATGCTAGAAATTAAAAAAAATACCATTAAAAATTGAATGTTCAGGGGGCTGGAGAGAATGCTCAGCAGTTAAGGATACAAACTGCTTTTCAGCGGACCTGGGTTCAATTTCCAACACCCACATTATGAGTCTTCCAACTGCCTACAACACCAACTCAAGGGGGTCCCATGCCTCTGACCTCTGGAGTCACCTGACACGTGTACACACACATATACATAATGAAATAAGTATTTTAAAATTTAAGTGTCTATAATGAATACATATAATTCAACCCAACCCTTTGCCTCCACTAGAACTACAGCACGGCCCTCAGACTTGCCACCTTGCTGAGGCTAGCGTTAAACTCCTGGCCCTCCTGCCTCCACCTCCCAAGTGCGGGGATCACACCTAGCTTTAGCTTTAAAACTAAAGTGCAAAGCTCAACTAACACCCAAGAAGTACAGCAACTCTGAATTTTTTCAAGCCTGAGTAAAAGCTGAAAATATAGTTTTGTAGTGATCTCTTTACTAAAAGTTAATTTGACAACATGAAAGATAATTATATACTAAGTCACCCAAGAAACATCCTTGACAATTATGTTATGGTCATCAAAGTGAGATCATGGCTGACAACTAAGACAAAAATCTATTGTATGAAATATCTATCCTAAACTTGTTGTCTCAACTACTATGGAAAATAAGAACTAAGAAATCAAAAATGTTTAAAAAAACATGTAAGCACATAATATACATTCAATAAATGGCTTAAGTATTATTAACCAATAACAAATGCTGACAAGGGTATATACTACTATATCACTAGTAGGTGTGCAAAAGATTTGGCCATTTTAGAAAACAATTTGGCAGTTTGATAAAAGTGTATTGATACTTACAATAGGACCTAAGAGTCCCACCTCTGCAATATTAAGTCACGAAAACTAGACCTGCATGTCGGAGTTCAAAATATCCTTATTCATTATTAACCAAAATGGACAAACTCAGGTGTCTATCAATCATGAAGGGACAAGATACAGACCATGCTAAAGTCATGGCCCTCAGGGGAAAAAGGAAATTCAGGGTATGCTGGAGCTGGTTGGTACCAGCTAAACACAGGCCTTGGGTGAGTTTTCCATGTTGGTTTATGAGGCTTACTATAGGCAGTGGTGACTATTACACTACAGTAATTACGAGATGGTACAAGTCTGGGGTTGGTTTGTTTTTTCTTTTGTTTTGTTTGGGAGAGCAGGTTGTCAGCTACTAGTCATGACTGTAGCACTGCTGTATGACACAGGCATGATGCCGAATGCATGAAGACACAAAAGGCAACCTTCTCTACAATGCATCTGGATGGTGTTCCACAGAAGACACTAATGGTTGCCAAAGGTTGAGGACTAACAGCAAGGAGACGTGAAAGATCTTTCTGGGGTGGTATGAAGGTTCTGCTTGTCTGTAATTCCAGCTGTACATATAAGAAAACTTCACTGCATGGAGATGATCTCTAAGTAAACCCAACTTGAAAACACCAGAGATGTCATTAATGTGTGAATTATATTATGGACGAGAAACGTATCAGATGCACAGAAGGAAGCTGGGACTCAGTGCAAACACCAGATTAGCAGATCTATGCATGACATAACTGGAAATGAACATGAATATGTAGGGGGAAGGGTGAATTGGTAACCACAGACAACACTAAACCCAGAGGGTGAGTGATCCTGGGAAGGATGCAACAGGGATGGCTTTTGGGTGTGATTACAGAGCAGTACGCATACCTGTTCACCCAAGCAAGTCGCTACCACTGAGCCCTTGTTATTGCAAGCCCATGGCTCAAAAATACCATGTTACAATGATTTTCAGATACATCTTCACTTCTAACTGATGTCATAAAACCTCAATTACTCATCTTAACATCTATCAACTGTCATCACTGGCTCTAAATTTAGACCATCTGGGTCCTAAACTTCAAAACTGCCCAATTCCCCATCTGTACAATGGGATCAACATTTTTGTAGCATCTGAAAGATGATACATGAAAAACTACTGTGCCAGACTGCTATGCTCTCAGCCACAGACATTACATACAATCAGTTGGAAAGTACATATGTTAAGTTTTATTTTTTTTGAGGTGGTGTCACATGTGGTGCTCAGCCCGGCTTGAAACTACTAAGCTTAACTATTTCTCTTGCCTCAGCCTCCCAAGTACTAGGACAACAGGTGTGAGCCACCACACCCAGGCAGGATATTTATTCCTTAACTATTATGTCCAGTTGTTCACAATTTTTGCGGTCCCATATAAAATGGGGGGGTGCACTAACAAATGCTACATTCTGAGGATAATTTCTGGAAATTCCAAGACCCTGCTGAACGAAGCACATTAGTAATATTAAGAATGCCGGATGTCCACAGCTGAGGCCTGCCAAGCTCAGAATCCTGACACTGGGATATTACACCATCATTTAACTCTCTCTCAGATTTGTCAAGTTGCTTCAGAACCTCGTGCTTCCTAACTCACATCACAGTTGTGCAGAAATTCTGTGAGAAGCATATTTTTACTTCAATGGATTTCAACTAAGGAAAAGAAACTATTTAAAAAACCAGCATTTCTAGTTGCTGGAGGCAGAACTGTTCGAAGTATTATTACACACAATACTGATTTCAAATACCACGAGTTCTCAAACCTAATGCAAAAAAAATAAATAGAAGCCTATCAAGCTAATTATTACACTACAGGGTTCCGTGATCTAAGTTTTATTTTTCTTTTTAAAGAAGGGATTTATTTTTATTAGACCTATACACTCATACCACATTCAGTTTTTCTGTATATCAACATTCCTTGGCTGTTTTGTTATTTTTACTTGCTAAACACCTTGATAGTGAAAAGTAATTGATCTAAATCTACCTGCTAGATATCAGCCTGGAAATAATGCTGTCTCGATGAAACAAGGTTTTGTCCTTTTTTTTTTTTTTTGGTTGGTTTCAGACAACATAATAAGCACTTGGTATTGACCGACCATGCCTATTAGTGAACAAAAATAGTTTTTCATATGCATAAGCACCATTTTCCCACAGAAAACACTTAGCCACCGTTGAGGCATTAAAAACCATGCGTATGGTAAACACGCTAGATCTGATTTTATCCTATTATGTCTATGAAGGAAGACCTCACATTCTGTCTCTCGGACTCAAATCGTCAAAAAAAAAAAAAATCAATGAAACGCAGAATCTCGGATGCAACCGGTCGGAAAGGTCACCGCTGCCTTTTAAACCCCGCCATAACCGTGAATGTTGATGATGCCACCACATCCCCGGTGCAGGACAGAAGCATCCCAGGTCCTTTCCACCGGGAAGGGTTTCCAGCTCAGGGCACAGAGGGATGAGCCAGGAGAGGCCCCGCGGCCCTGGAGACGGCGCCCGAGGGATGGAGGCCGCGCTCCGCTGCGCCCTGGCGGAGGAGGGGGGTTGGGGAGACCCGGGAATGGTAACCCGGAGGGTCCGCCCGAGAGGACCCGCCTGCCCCCCCCATCCCGGGACGCGCCAGGTTACGCCCCCGCCTGCCCCGAGCGGCGGCCGCCTCCCCCTCCCGGTCTCCGAGGCCCCTGCCCGCACGCCCCTCCGCCGGCCGCCTGGGGACCCGACGCCGACGGCGCCCTCTCCAGGCCCGGCGGAGGACGCGGGTGGGGGAGCGGCTGGGCCGCGGCCTGTCCCCGGCGGCGGTGGTGGCGGTGGCGGTGGCGGCGGTGAGCGCGGGGCCGCGCGGACAGCGCCTCCGCCCCGCAGGAACAAAGCGCCCCGCGAGCGGGCGAGCAGCACTCACCGCGGACCGGCGAGCCTGGGTGCGGGGCCCGGGAGCCCCCCGGGCCGGGTCGGGCCGGGCCGGCCGGGGCCGAGCACCCGCTGCAGTCCACGAGCTGCGGGGCCGGGGCCGCCGGGCGACAGCCGCGCTAGGCGGCCGGGGCAGCGACGCCGCCGCCGCCGCTCCCTTCTCCGGCCCGGGTCCCTGCTCCTCCGCGTCGTCTCCCTCGCCGGGTCCCCGCCGCCGCCTCAGCCTCGGCGCTGCACGGGCTGCTCCTCTCCATCAAGGCCGGGCCGGGCCGCGGGGGACATCCCGGAAAGTGAGGGCTGGTGGCCGTCTCCCGCAGCTGCTGGTGGCCATCTTTAATCCTCCTCCTCCCGCTCGCTCTCCCCACCTCCCGCGCCTGCTGACGGGCTGCTCGGGATCCTCCTCCCGCTCCTCCCGCTCCTCCCACCAGGCCGGCCGCAGAAATTGCAGCCGCCCGGGCCGGCCCCTCCTGCCTTTCCTTCCTCTTTCCTACTTCCTTCCTTCCCTCCCCGCGGCTCCCGCTTTCCCGCACCCTCCGCCCGAGCGCACCGGCTCCGCGCCCCTCGCCCTGGCTTCTGGCTCCCGGGTCCCCTGGCGCTGTGCTCGCCCACCCTTTGCGCGGGTGTCTCGGGAGACCCTGCTGAGAAAGGACCGCTGCGCGCCCCTGACCCTCCACCCATTGCTGGATGCTGTCACCGGCGATGACAACACGCAAGCCTGCGTTCATTTTTACTCCAGCTGGAGTACAAAAGAACTGTCCACGCTAGCTCTTCCACTAGGCAGCCTCGAACCCCCCACCTTCTCCGGGGGGCTCAGGACCAGGAGTTATGCCCCCAGCCTCCAGGGTTGCCCTGGGTCAGTGACCTTGAGACCATCACCTGAGATTTTAAGTTTGCCTTTTCCTTCTGGAGACATGCATTATTTATTTATACCTCCATAGATGTGACCAACACAGTGTTTATGTATTTTGGGTAAACCTAAAGCAGCCAAGCGGGCATCAGCTTGCCTCTGCTGCTAGTTAGCCCAGCAGACCATTTGGGTCATACTTCTGCTCTGGCGACGGGGACAAACTGAGTCAGCATGAACGCTTGAACTCCTTTAAACCGCTCAGAGTGGGGAAGTGGCGCTTTACAGAAACTGGAAACGTGAGCCTGTTTTTCCAACGCTGCAATCTACAGCAGGATTTCCTCAAAGAAAAACGCAGCGATTTGGACTTGCTGTTTCCTTTTTTTGAAGCCAGTTTGCGTTTGGAATTGGATCCAGTTGTAATGATTTACTGGCTGCTTGCTACAAGACTCAGCACTACTGGCAAACCCAGACTTTATCTGTGGGGGCCACCCGCTGGCAGGGGAAAGCGCCTTAGCCAGGTTGGGGTGGGGGGTCGGGATGAGGAAGGCAGGGAGGGGGGCGGGGACAGGCAACAGAATAAAAAATTCAGATGTTACTAAATTCTGATAAGAATATGCCAGAATAAACCTTAAAAAAAAACACTTTAGTAACAAGATTGGCAGCTTCTGAGAGACAAGCAGAACAAGAACTCTTAAATCCACATAGTCTTTGCTATAGCATTCTGTGACACGGTTTTAAATAAATCATTAAAAGGCAAGCCGCTGTGTGGAGGAGGGGTATGCCTGCTTATATTTCCTTGTTGCTGCTCTCTCCTTTGTGGCCCTTTGGTATTTATTCATTAGATTTTGTTTCTCCGATCTATCATTAGACAAAAACACCACAAAATCCTCGATTCTTAAGCCCCAGAGTGTGGTGAAAAGAAGAGTTATTGGATGGTGTGACTTCATAGGGTGAGAAAATTCAGTTGGGTCAACGTGGAGACAACCGTGCATTTTAAAAGGAAGATTTTTAACTTAAATATGAGGTTCCCGAATTCTTGTCATTGCATTTGGGTTTACATTGAAAGAAGAAAATGTATGAAATTTAAGTCATTAGTCCATTAATTATAAATGTTTTTCTGTTGAAAAATTAACATTGCAATAAAGTTTAAGGGTACCTCAGTCTGCAAACATGACAGCTTCCCTGTTGGTGTCTTTTAGACAACATCTCAGGAAGGTTTTTATTCTGTTGCACAAACATACATGTAGCCTCCACCTCCCCTTGTTTTACTAAAGCCATACAAATACAGGTATTGTAAGAATGGCCAGGAAAAGAGCTTTTTCTCAGCTCTGCTTCAGATCTGACATCATCACAGGCCTTACCTTCCTTGGTCTTTGTTGCCAGTCAAATGCAGTTTCTGTCATCTTGAGTCTAAGTATTTAAAAAGAAGAAGAAGAAGAAAAAAAAAAAAACTGATTCTCCAGCAACATGACTATTATGTCCTATGCATTCACTCAGATGAACCCACACTCCTCATAAAACAAAGACTTGTGTTAAAGTGGGATAAGCCCTTTGTGCGGGAGGCCAGATGGAAGGAGTTCTAGGCATGTGCAGCAAACTCCTTTGGGGATAGGGAAAGCTGAGGGGCTATTTCTAAGCAGTTCTGCATCAGGAGCCTGGTTCCCAACTTCAGTTCACGAAGGAGGTGATTGTAGACAACCGAGAGGCCGAGCCTGACAACAGGAAACAACCACACAGCCCTGCGGGCTGGAAAGTCCATGGGCACCAACCAGCACAAGTGGGAGAAGACGGGAAAATCATCACGGAGACGCCTGGGGAGACGAAACCTGAAAATTGTTCAGATAAACAATGAGATGAAAAAACGCTATTTTAACAATGGCTTCTTTTATGTTATATTTAGAAATTGGGAAAAATTTGAACTATAGCTGATGGGAATACACACACACACACACACACACACACACACACACACAGCAAGTAAATTCCAGAATTTTAAGATGTTACTGGAACATGGAGTGCTACAGATACCAGAAGACAAAAAATTACCTGGACGTTAAGCTTTGGCACATTCAGATTTTACTTATGTACTAAATTATGTAACTATTAAATTTAAAATGTGTTTCCATTTTCCCAGGTTATTAGCTACAGCAATGGAATTACTGTATTGTTTCCCCCTTGTTTAGAAGACCAGATGGAAGAGAAACTGGGCAAGCAAATGGGAATCTCTGGGGAGCGTGGGAACGGAATGTTTGTGAAAAACATACCCCACACAAGGAGACAGAGTTAAGTAAATGCTCAGCTCTATTCTCATAATCTCTGTTCTTTGTAAAAGACGATTATTTCTTTTCCTTGTTTTCCTCTGATGAACTGTCGAAAATATCAAGTGAGTAATGACAAGCCATATTTATCTGCACTGATCAAAACTGAGTATCATTCTTCCCCTCCTCAATTTAGAGAACTCCTTATAATTAACTGATGAGCTGTCCCCAAGACAGTGCCATTTAGAGTCATTACTGACTCTAATTGGGGAGAAATGCATTTGGAAAGTTCCAATTAGAGGCATTTTCTGTTGTTCTTGTACATACATTCAGGGGAGGTACTGGAGCGTTTCTTTTGTTTGGGGCACTTGTAGGTTGGATATTGTGTCTGTTTATACTTAAGCCAATAACACGAGTGAATCTTCTGTAAGCTTTGGAGTAACAAGACCACAGGAGGACACTGAACAGCCACATTTTTGCGCTTGCTTTATCATAACGATCATGATGATAATGGAAATGGGACATCTCTTGTGGAGATGGCGTTGAAAGGGATCCGTTTCTGCATACACTACAGTCTCTCCATATTCTGTCCTTGTTTATGTTTTTGGGATAATTGCTGTGTAGGCCAGAATGGGCTGGGACTTGCTCTGCAGAACTCAAGGCCATTTGTGTATTGATTTTCCCTTTCTTCATATTTCTTTATGGTGTTACGAAGAGCTGAGACCTTCCAAACCACCATCTTTGTGATGTTTACACAGGTACAAGAGATAGCAGTCTGTGTGCTGGCTGCAATTCACTCATCAATCAACTATAGGAAAAAATTTTATCAAAGGCCATCAATAGACTGGAGACAGGAGTCGAGATTTCAGGGTTGCAGGGTTCACCTTTTTGTTGGGAAAGGGAAAATCCTCAAATCTTTAACTCTGCTCTCTACAATTGAATACATGAAACTTTATTTTCATAATTTCTGATAGTCATTGACTTTTTCAGGAAAAAGAAATGTTAAGGAATAAAGTTAAAGAAGATAAATGTGGTGGTGAGGATTGGAGGCTGGACCTCAAAGTGTAACTTTGTCAAAAATAGAAAAAAGAAATAAAGTAGGGGTTTCCTATTTACAAAACTAATAACAATTATCTGCAACAAACAAGTAAAAGGGAAATCGCGCAGGAGTTTGAAAGAGTTTGGGAGATCAGAGAATGTAAGGTGAACCTCTCTCTCAAAAGTCCCTGTTTTCCTGGAGGACTCAAAACAAAGCTGCGATTACAAATACTTAAACAAGATAAAATACTGCCATCTGCTGGTCGGAATGAAAAAGACATCTCTAAGCAAGAAAAAAGATCTAGGATTTTCTCTCTGTCTTTGTCTCCCTCCCTCCCTCCCTCCCTCCCTCCCTCCCTCCCTCCCTCCCTCCCTCCCTCCCTCCCTCCCTCCCTCTTTGAAACAAGATCTCCATAGGTAGCACTAGCTAGCTTGAAGTTTCACAGTCCACCTGCCTTGGCCTGCAAAGAGCTGAGATTACAGGTGTGCACCTGTTTCAAGCAAGCCTCCCCATGCTAGGCAAACACTACCAAGTTAGCAATATCCCCTACCTGCTCACATAAGAGGGGAGGGTTCTTAAAGTTAAAGCATTTCTTGTACTCACATTCCGGACTATTAAATGGTATACCAACACCAGGCAGATGATACTGTAGTGCCCGGCTCTACTCCACCCGTGCATGGAGAGCACAATTAAAGCCTTGCTGTAACAGTCATAAAGGATCTCAGGCCTGTCTATGAAGTGTGTGCTCCACTCTCGTCTTCTGGGTTTTGTGTGACCGCTTCACTCAGAAATTACACAAGACGACAAAACTTCAGTTTTGACGTGTGTGTGTGTGTGTGTGTGTGTGTGTGTGTGTGTGTGTGTGTGTGTGAAGGCAGGGTTTCTCTACAGCCTTGGCTGTCCTAGAACTCTTGCAGACTCCCCTGCCTCTGCCTCCCGTGCTGGAATTAAAGGCATGCACCGCCACTGGCCGGCCTTCATTGTTCCTGCTTTGGTAACACTACTTTACATTATA